CGGTCGCCTCCCCTGCCCCTTTCCCCCTGAAGCTCCTGCAGTAGACCCCCTGAGCTATTGATTTGTGTGCATTGCTGCTTTCGCCATCTGACTACCTGTCTCCTCACTCTTGATACAAGCTCGGCTGTAGATTGAAAGTTCTCCCGCTGTACTGTTTGGCAGCCGAACATGCATAACAGGGTTATTCAACAGATGACTTATCAACAGCAGCTTAGTGAAGCCAGTGGGAATATCACATTACAGAGGAATGTTCGGGCCTGTAGAATATCACTGCAAAGGCGAATAGATAAGCATTAGCAATAGAGTCTGAGCTTTAAGGTCATACAATACACAAACCAGCACTCCCACTCAGTTAACAAACTTGAAACAAGCCTCAATTGCTCACCACTTGTTTAACACTCCACAGAAACCATATTTTACACTAAATCGTTTAATGATCGCTGCGTTAAATCACTGTGAAGTTTAGATTCCTTTCTGTTTTGAGCTAGGTTTCGCAAGCAGACTAGAGCAAACTTTTATGAGCCTGATGTTGGCAGTGATATGGGGTTGCTGCAAGTTCATTATTTCTGGGAAGCTGTATTTGGAAGGAATAAAATAAAACAATTGGAAATAGCATAGTGTACATCTTGAAAATCACAACCTTAATCCGGTGTAAATATTAATCGGACGTTGTGGAGCAGTTAAAAGCCNAAAAAATCAACAATAACAACAAATTGCATTTATATAGCACCTTTCACATTGGAAGGACGTTCCAAAGTGCTATTTGTCAGACTATATAGAGCTGCTCACTACTAAAATTATACAGGGGGACTCACTGTGCATATTATGTCTTATAGAGGTTCTCACTGCTATACCAGATTCTACAGAGGTGTTCACACCTAATAAGACTGTTGCATTCCCTCAAAGCTTTTTCCAACAGTCAAGCCATTTGGCCTTCTGGTTCCTTTTACATTTCAAAACCAACATAAAGTCAAAATACCGTGTTTCAATTGATTCATTCAGTGCAGGACGTGGAAAATCTGAAATGAGAAACTGCTTTAAAATAGGTAACATTGAGCAAATGCCACTTATAAGCCGGAACACTGATGTAATCTAATTTTAAAAAATCTGCCACTGAGGAAGAGTCTAAGGTCTCCAAGACACTATCCCCGTGTGAAGGGCTTTATATAAAGCCAAGTTGTTGCTGTTGATGTTGAATGATTGAACACTTTCCCATCAATTTGTCGGATGTACCGTTGGAAGACAAATTAGGAGCTCCTGAAAAAAAAATTCTTTTAAAGTTCTTTGGCTTCATTCCGCGAACTGTCCAAATGCAGCTTCGTAATTACGAACTGCCAAAGCAACTTACTGAGGAAACATGACATGCCTTGGCTTGTTTTTCTCTTGCAATGTTTCCAAACTTTGATAAGTTTCCTGGTTGAAGGGCTCAGCTGGGGAATAGGTCCGCTGACTGATTGCAGTAGCTCGTTGCGTTGGAAACACTGAGAGAAAGTCACTTGAACTACATCAGCCAGCAGCTAGTTCTGAAAGGTTACTGCATTAATCGGTCACTGACTGACTGCTAACTTTGACTAAATAGGCACTAACTTCAGTTTGAGCAATGCTAAAGTAAATCTACCAGGGAAAACCAACCCACTACCTCACCTGTCACTGAATTAAATCATTTAGTGAGAGGGAAGCTGCAATGTTTCTTGTGATAATAACCCTTCATTGTCCAGCGCCTAGGGATGCCCTCCTGGCGTGAAAGGCGCTATATAAATGCAATTTGTTGCTGTTGATAACAGTCACTATACTTCACAGTATATTCTGTGAAGCGCTTTGAAACGTCTCGACGATGTGATAAGGCGCTATATGGAATGAAAGCATTATTATTATTATTAACGTCTTGTGAAGTCCTGTAGCTCAGTGGTTAGAGCGCTCGCTTTGCAAGCGAGAGACCTGAGTTCAATTCCAGGCAGAGGGCGAAACCTTGGGCAAGTTTCCTTACTCCACACAGAGCCTAATAATAATCCCTCCAAAAAACAAAAACAATAATAAATTGGTCATTTTCAATCCACGACTGTTTGTGGGACATTGCTGTGCGCAATTGGCTGCCGCGTTCGCCCACAAATATACAGTCAATTCACTTTGCAGTGTGTTCTGTGAAGCGCTTTGGGACATCCTCCCGACGTGAAAAGCGCTATATCAAATGCAAGGATTATTAAGTGCTCCACAATGACAGGGTTGGATGCTGAGCAAGAAAGAAGAAAGAGAACAGAGATGCAATTGAAGATTTTGAGGTGGGATTTAAAGGCAGCTGGAGAATAAGGTGAGGCAGAGGGATAGAGGTGGAGAGTTCCAAGTAGGGATTTCCACTGATTAGGGTATAGTGACTCAATCATCAATCCCATCAGCAGGAAGAATGCTATTTTTTTTCCTGGGGGTAGCAAGAGGAAACAATTTAGAGAGAAAATAAAACTACAAAAAAAAGTTGTCTCAATCGCTTTGCTTTTATTCCCACTCGCAAGAACTTTAAACCGTAACCTTTCCAAGGAATCTGCTGCAGATGTGGCATTGGGGGAAGAGGGTTAACCTCAGAATCCATCCCGACATACACATTGTTAGGAAAACACACCAGGCATATTTATGCCATGACTAAGCAGATGAAATCGGAGGAAAAAAATTGGTCTCTGGGTTTTATCTGCTTTGTATCCACTTGGTTTCCTGTGCCACGGTGAGCTATGTACGGTGAGTCCTGTAGCTCAGTGGTTAGAGCACTCGCCTCGCAAGCGAGAGGATCTGAGTCCCATTCCCGGCAGGGCGAAAAGTTGGGCAAGTGGAGGATAGGGGTAGGAGGGTGGCCGAAGGCGAGGTCGAAGAGGAGAGTCTTGAGACAGGGCTTGAAGGAGACTAGGGAGGGAGCGAGGTGAAGGGACTGTGGGATGGAGTTCCAAAGGATGGGGCAAGAGACACTGAAGGGGCCCAACAGCAACAACAACAAGTTGCATTTGTACAGAGCCTTTCACATCGAGAGGATGTCCCAAGACGCTGGACAGTGAAGCACTTGCACCCGAGCTGGGGGTTGGGACACACAGAGCACACGCACAGCCCTGTGCAAATCACTGTCACGTTTCTACCATGTCAAAACAATGACAAATTGCAGCAATTTCAACCCAGCAAAACTGCCACGGACATCTTCCTGGAACGACAGTTCCACTAATGTGACAAGCCTGTGCCTGACGCAGACAAGGGAGCAGCACAGACTGAGGTTTCACGGTTGACAACTGTTAATCTCTTTGTTGATAGCACAATCTGAGACGGCAGAGACAAATCATGCAGGCAGCGAGGCCAGCAGTGGAATTTCCCTACGATATCTAGCAAGTCACCCACCGGGAAAAAAAATTTCAATCTTTATCTTTAGCCGCAATCTTTATCTCAGCTCAGAGGAAATGAGATGAAATGGGTCGCCCTGCAGTGGAGTCAACGAGACATTTATTGTAGCTGATTTCTGCAGCAGGTTTGATGTGATTAGGTTGGTTAAAGGGTTCTCAAACACTTGATACTTGATGGTATTGAAGGGCAGCCTGGTGGCATAATGCTACAACATTATTAGCTAGCAAATGGTTCTGTTATATAAGGTTGAAATTCCTGTTGATGAACACTTCCAGGGCAAGGAAGTTGAGCTTGTAAAGGTCCCTTCAAAGCGAAGAACGGTTTGAGATTCTTACCAATGAAAGAAAATCTGCCAATGCTAAAGTCGATGCTAAATAAGCGTGCCAATGTGAAGGGTGCTATATAAATGCAAGTTGTTGTTATAATAACCTATAACATTCTGACCCAGAAGCAGGTATGCTACAAAGCGAGCCAAACTGGCTCTGAACAGACATGACATAATAATAATAATCCTTGCATTTGATATGGAGAGTCTTGTCACATCTTCGAGGCATCTCAAAGCGCTTCACAGAATATACCGTAAAGTGAATTAACTGTATGGTTTGTGGGAGAATATGTGCTGTGCAATATGTGTACTTTGCGTAGGTCAGTGCGTTTCACAATAACATCGTGTTAATTGTTAATATGCATCTCCAAGGAGAAAAAATAAGTGACTGGTTTTAGAACCCAAACCGCCAGTTTACCAGAGGACTGGAGGGGAGATTTCACTCTTCTCCACAAGTACTAGTCCCTGTGCCGTTGGATGCGGAGCTTTAGTGTGGGAGAGCAATGGCATTTGTTGTTCATCACAATGACATGTGCGCCCAATTATAATGGTGCCATTCATCTGGATATCAATGGCACTTTGAATGCCAAGCTTCTCCACCAGCAAACAGAGATTAACTGTTTGTCGTGTCTATTAAAAATGTCACCGGACTTTTTTTTTGTTGCAGCACACGTGTGTGAAACCGAGGGGACAATGGGTGGGGGAGTGGGGTGAGGGGGCAATTGGCTGCCGCCTTTCGCCCCCGAAACAGTCAGTCAATTCACTTTACAGTATAATCTGTAAAGCGCTTTGAGACGTCTGGCAGGTGTGATAAGGCTCCTTCTCAAACGCAAGGATTATTATTGTACCATTTCCTAGGATTACTGCACAGTTTATACAAAATACACTCATGTTTATAACTTTGGTGCTTCCACTTCTAATAATAAATAATAATAATCATCATTGCATTTGATATAGCGCCTTATCACGTCGGTGAGGTGTCTCACAGTGGATTGACTGCATTTTGTGGGCAAAACACAGTAGCCATTAATGTATAATAATGTATGGTTACACTGCCCAGTGTACTACAATGATGTATAAAAAAGGCATCGCTTGTGTCATTGTGAATGTGTGGCGTTAAGAAGGAAGGTTATGCAATATCTTGTAGCACTGTTTTGCATTTTATTACAATGTACAGTGCACAGGTACACAACAACAGCAAATACCTTATGTAAGGTCCCTGACCTAGCATGAGGCACCACAGATAAGATACACAAAAGTGAGGATCAACTGCAGTGAAATAAGACGCTTTCAACATCTCAACTGCATGCAAGAAAGATTTTGTTTTAATTATTCTTTTATTAGGAAGAGGAAGTATTGAAAGTGTGCTTCCCACGTGTTAGCAGATAGCAAAAGGGAACGCTCGAGGTAGAGTTTCTCCAACTGGCATGATCATTTTCCACATTCAACCTCACTTGCATCTTAACATTTTAATAGGTGTCCATTTTTTTCTCTGTGTGAGTACGAATGAGAGCGTGTGTGAATGAGAGTGTGTATGTGTGTGTGTGTGTGAGTGTCTTCACAAACCCTTTTGAGATCAAATCACATCGTTTTAACACCGCTGCCCTCATCGCAAATCCTTAAAAAAAAAACTGACGACATACTCAAATTAATTCTCCAACGCCTACAAAATTAACAAACCGTTACAAAGCAAAAAGAAACCACCCCCCCCCCCCACCCCCAACCTTCTTCGCTTTCGGACATTAAAGGGTTAATTTAGTGTACACAATTTTGTTTGCCACAGGCAAGGTTTCAGATAATACTGTTAGCTTAACACATTACCAAGTTACTCTGAAATTTAATAAGGATACATCATTTTTTTAAAAAAAATCAACACAGGATTTGGGCCTAAATTGGATATTTTGGAGGAAGATGTACAATTTTTGTTGACAATGTGTTATTGGAAGCACAGGCACTGTGTGTTACAGTGGTATGGATAATAAATGAATGTAGCACCATTAAATGTGGTCGAGCTCTACATAGCACCACTTCTGGAGGGGTAGTAATTGGTAGCGACAGGCAGAGAGATGAGGAGCTTAGATCAGCAGATTCTCATCGATATCCTCTGTGGAAGAAGAAAATTGCACAGATTTCAACAAATTAAAGACACTATCTGCAGTCTATTTCCTACCTCTACCTAATCCTACCCCTTCCTGATCTCAACTCCCAGCTCAGGTCCACATCTCTGACTGTCTGGCACCTTGGGATGTCCTCCTGACAGACAAATCTAATTTGCTGTAGTAGTTGTTCAGCAGACGCACAAACACACAAATTACTATTTAAAGTTGTGCAAGCTTCTCTTTAGTGCACAGGAAAGTGTGTGCATTTTATATAAAAGTGTTACACATCTTACATTTCAGTGTTAAAGGTTTTGAATGGAGCTCTCACTCTTTTGTGTCTGTAAACCCTTAAGAAGACAAGATGGGTTCCACTGTTAACTAATAATTCACCCCTTTCACAGATTCTCTTCATCCCCCTGTTAACCATTGCTCCTGGAGTCATGTGTCAGAGAATGATTTGCCAACTGTGAAATCAGACCTTACGTAACCTCTGATATGGTTGACGACCAGAGCTGAATGTGGCCCAGATATTGGCAAGTGGTGTGTGTGAGTTCTCCTCCGGAAGCCAGTCTAGCAGGACGTGGGACTTGACACAACTCTTACGTGTTTGCTCTTGGCGAGCAAAATCGCCTTGGTTTTATTCACTGCCAAACATGGGGATGTAAACGGGAAGTGAGCCAAGCCAAACCTGGTCAAAGCCCCTTGTTCCTGAAACTAACCTGGAGGAGAGGGTTTCAGGCGAGCAGTGAAATTCCTCACCTCCTGTGATCCATTGAGAGCTCTTGGATGGACCATCCAACACACAATGGGTGAGAAACTCTTCTGACCACTCAATGCAGACACTTTGTTCGCACGTGTGTGTGTGTGTGTGTGCTCATACTGGGAACACCTTATTCTAAAAACTTTCTGTCAAAAAAAAATCGCTACACCCCAATGTTTCTTCATACAGATCTCCGTCTCTCTCTCTCTCTCTCTTTCATCCCATCCCACATAGCGCTCAGTAATTCACTCACTGCTACTGACAACCCAAACTGCCTTCAGTCGTCTCCCTCTCGCCCGAAGTACTCACGTTCTTTGATACCGAAGCACATGGTCCACTCGTTGAGGGAAATGTATTTGTCACTGTCGGTGTCGCACGCCTCGAAGAAGCGATTGGTGCAGTGTTCCATTGGAATGAGAGGCGCCCGCAGAGGAGCCAGCTCAGAGTGAGACAGGAACCTGGGTTCAAGACAAAAAGAGACACTTATGGTAATATCCTTGCATACAGCGCCTCATCAAGTTGTTGAGACATCTCAAAACCGTGTCCCACAAGCGAGGCCAGTGCTCTAACTGATACTCTACTGGACACTACCAGAAACACAGTATGACACTGCTCTGAGATGACCCAATTGGAGCATCAAGACTCCTCCGATCTTATGCTTAAGATTGACCCTCTCGTTTTCAAAAGAATTCACTGTTGGCTATTAAAATAATTTATGTCTCATTGTGGTTGAAAATGTATGAAAATAGATGTTGGAATTATATCCTAAACACTGGTTTGATTAATAATCTTTTAGATTAATATAGCGGATATAATGTCAAGATGTCTGTGTAGTATGCAGCCGATTTGCACACACCAGTGGCCTAACAAATAGCTTTGACTTGAATGATCAATTAATTTGGCAGATTGTTGGTCATTATACCAGGAGAAACTCCCTTCTCTTACTGAATAGTCACGACAGTTAGGGATTTGCACCCGAGCTGGGGGTTGGGATCAGAAGGGGAGGGTAGGCGTAGGAGGGTGACCGAAGGCACGGTCGAAGAGGAAGGTCTTGAGACGGGCCTTGAAGGAGGCAAAGAAGGGGACGAGGTGAAGGGACTGTGGGATGCAGTTCCAAAGAGTGGGGGCAGAGAGGCTGAAGGCCCGACTGCCGATGGGGGTAGAACCTCACTTGTCAATTGGATGCTGATCAAGTTGTCCAAATTGCCAGTGGACGGGGAAGATGTACATGTTGTAGTTCTTCTCAAAGTCATGAGCCAACAGGTCCAAGGAATGCTCTCCAGCCTCGAGACGTTTCTCATTCTCATACATCTTCCTGACCTGCTCCATGGAAAGAAAGAGATCAGCGGTGTGTGCTGCCGGGATGGGACCTGCAGTTCGTCTAAAATGACCGCAACTAAACGAGCGTCTGTTTGGGGGTGAGGGGGGCACACAATAAATTCCTAAAAGTCCCATATGGCAAGAGCTGGACCTTTGCAACTAATTGGTGAAGATAATGATGGCGCCAATATATGCCTTCTTCCACTTGGAGAAGCAGTGCAGGGCCAGATCTGCATTGAACACGCTAGGAAGCCAAGGGCACCGTGTTGGAGGTGGAATGTAGTAATATGTATTTTATATAACACAGCGAAATAGATCAGAATGTCTCGTTTGCCAATCCCTTACACAGCAGCCAAACACAAGACACGTCCCCATGGAGAAAGAGGGAAAGGGACAGAAAAAAAAATCACAGGAAGAAGGAATCCCTTTCACACACACCTCGCAGTAAATGTTTTAAGGGAGCCCAAACTGGAAGAAGGTAAACGAATCAGATTTTTGTTACACACAAAAAAAAAGTAAGGTCGACCATTTGACCGGAAGGATTAAATCGAGTTGGTTTTTTTCCCCCACCCCAACGAAAAATAAAAATAAAAATGACTTAAAGGAGCATTTTCTTGCCTTCGTCTTCTGCTTCTCTGTCAGGAGGTTGGTCAGTTCGCTGTCACGCTCGTACAGAGTTACCAGAACATTCTTCAGCCAGTCACGCATGCGGAGGGGGAACTCTGTCAGTTCAGCGTCCCCACAGGTTGGGATTTCTACGAGGAGAGAAGTTAAAGTCAATCAGAACTCCCTCCGAGAAAGAAATTCTTACAATCATTAACAGTACAATAATTAATGAATCAATTAATCGATCAATCACAATAATTAATCAATTCTTGTAATGAATATGCCCATTGTTAATTGACCCACAAAATATACAGTCATATTCACTTTACAGTATATTCTGTGAATAACAATAATAATTTGCATTTGATAACGGTTTGTCATGTCTTCGAGACGTCTCAAAGCGCGTTACAGAATTGTAGCAAAAATGTGAAATACTTTGAGACATCTCAACGACATGACAAGGCGTTGTATCAAAGGCAAGGATTATTAATACTATCGATGTATGTACGTAATCAGCCCATGTTCTGCGTGCAATTTTTGTGTGTATTGTACACTGTTTGTTCCACGGCCCCATTGAGTTCAAACGCAATGCGCACTATTTGCAGGTCAGGAGGACACAACTACATTAAATCATGAAGTACACTGGAATGCTTTACATTTGTGGATATGATGATGGAGCTTTCAAAGGGTTAATGTTCTCCTGCTGCTAAAAGGAACTGCTTAAATGGATTTTGCAAGAGAGATGACAACGTGCCATGTTAAACAAAGCCCTCCTTTGTTCAGTCCTGTTCCACCTTCCCTGAACTCAATTGAGGTGACCCTCACAGGAACAGAGAGCGTTACAGCCAGAGAGACTGATGCTGACAACCCAAGGCCTGTTAACAATAGCGAGCCTTCAAAGATATTATTGCTTCTTCCTCCCCGCTCCTCTTTTACCCATTATTGTTTTGGCCGCACGACAGCTAAGGTCTTGATGGAGAAGCTAACTATGTGAGACTCTTTGTAAGAATCCATGGCAAAGCTCTCTCCGAGCCTCGAAGGCCGGAGGAATGTTGCAGTGTGTTCCGGCGGTAATGAATGGCGAAAAGTACTTTGAGTAACCTGCGTGATATTCTAGACAACTCACTGAAGTACTTATAAACATCCAAGGTAGATCGCGCACGCGCTCTCTCTCTCTCTCTCTCTTTGGTATATCCTCTTGATTTTCTCAACTCTATCTGTCCTCTCCTCCCTTCATTTTCTATCTTGTTTATTTCGCTCTCTTTAATTCATCTCACGCTTTACTTGCATTCTGTTATACTTAAATGTTCCACTGATCAAGATCTCAGTGCTGAGATAGTTTCCTCAACTCAATGGACCTCCCCAGTGACCTTTTAGATGCTCTCTCTCTCTCCAACTCTCCTAATCTCATGTTGCCTCTCATTTTCCGCCCATACTCTTGTAAATTTAACCTCTCAGCCCTAGTTGGCCCCAGGAATAGGAATTGGAACAATCCATTCAACGAACAGCGATAGCGAGAGTACACGTTACTCTCTACAGATTTGTATCGCCCCACACATCACTCCGAGCAAAAGAAAACATTCAACGTGCCTTTGCATGGCCCGATGTAATCCAGGTGGAGTTTGTGTCCCTTCTTGGTGCCCTCCAATGCGCACTTGGTGGCAAACAGCTGGCAGGCACTGTCAAAGGTCTTGTTGTCTGTACCACACACCTAGGAAAGGTTAGTAGAACATGGAGATATTACAGCCTTGCTCTTAAGTGACGTAACTAACTTTCTTTGGTAATGTGACCACCATTCCGCGGAGTCTAAATAATAGTCCCTCTTGATGTTTTGGGCGATTCTGCTCCGTAAGAGTATCTATCAAACTGAATCTCAAATAATGCTCTTCATTCAATACAGCAATAGTCAATACTCTGACATTTCCCCCCCCCCCATCATCCTTCCAGCGCTAATGATAGCAACGCGCGTGTGTTAATCCAGTTAGTGGTGAGCGTGTAAGTGCTAGCCAGTTACGAGTGTGTATATAGGAGTCAATGTTGAGTGCGTGAGTGGCACAGACACTTTAGTGTTGAGATCACCCTCTAGAATCCTCTGCGTTGTGACACCTCCTTTATTGGCATCTCTTCATGAGTGTTTAGGATGATGTAATTGCCTCCCTCTCATGTCTAGCCATGACTGGTGTGAGCTCAGTTACTCAGTGATGTTTTTATTCCCTATTAGAAACACTTTTTGTCCCAAACCTTCTCAAATGTGACGGTGCTGGGTGGGCAGGAAGTGGGGTCCTGGCAGACGCACATGGGCATGTTGTCCTCATCAAGCTCACAGACCTTTCCTCGCTTGCAGTGGTAGTTTTGACATGGGTCTGGGGAGGGAAAGTCAGATAATAATAATAATATTAATAATCCTTGCATTTGATATAGCGTCTTAGAGACGTCTCAAAGCGCTTCACAGAGCTTACTGGAAAGTGAATTGGCTGTATATTTTGTCTCCAGGTTACACCAAGCAAATGGCTCCACAAACAATAGCTCCTCCAACTCTCGGACGCATTCCATTCCCATTTAATTGTCCTTTATTGGCTTTATTGTCCTGGAATGTTTTCACGCAAAGACTAGTGGAAATCTGGAATTCTTTCCCTCTCCCGAAAGGCTGTGGATGTTGGATCCATTCAAATTTTCAAGACTGAGGTGGATAGATTTGTTAGGTCAGGGTATCAAAGGATTTGGGGCAAAGGCAGGTAATCGGAGTTGAGGTGTAGATCAACCATGATCTAACAGAATGGCAGAACAGACTCAAGGGGCTGAATGGCCTCCTCCTGTTCCTATGTTCCCATTTCTTTTCACTTGGGTCACTTCACCCCAAGGGGAGCCTGGAACATTTTGCACCTAATGGTGTTAAAGGACTCCACTGTAACACGTTCCATGATACTAAGGGTTTGGTGAATAATGTGCTACACCCTCTGGCTTCTAGCAACACTGGCCGGCTTTCTGCACACAGCATCGAGCTTACAGAAGCCCTCCCAACATCTAGGCATCTCCCAGCAACTGCTGAAAATGCTCACGAGAAAAGCTCTCGTTCAGGAAGTGATTTCAGCGGTGACCTGACAACCCAGAAGCACTCGTTGGTGGCCATTTTCATAGCGCGCTCCCATTACAACGCGTGCAACGTCTGATTATCAATGACCGTGTTGCCTGAGATCTAGGTGGTCGCGAACACATAGCCACAATCACGTTTAAAGGGCCCCTGGTTGGCTCCCAACGTGAAGAGGTAGGAAAAGGATGGCCATTTTAGCGATCAGCATGGAGGCGGAATCCACAGAACATTGGAATAAAAGCTCAAACGGCGGAAACTGTGTCCTGCTTCACTTACTCTCGGCTTCAAAGTCTTTTGTCGTATCCTCCTCGACGTCCTCAAAGTCGCCTGTGTCAACTTGGACGGGGTTGGCTCCAACGGGTGATTCCTGTTTCAAAGCAATTTCCTTGTTAAGGAAGTTTGGACTGACCCCATTTTAGAGGTGGGGTTTGGAGGAGAAGTGCAACACTCTAAAACTCCCATAACCTTCAAAAACGTTTTTTTTTAGGTGATCACTGCACTGATGGTAAAACACTGAACTAACACGAGTTCTATTGCGCTAGTTAAGCTGATATCCTTGCATTGATGCGAAACACACTGTTTCACAGCCATAAAGAAAAAACGCCTTCCTGGCAAGAGCTGGCGGCAATCATTAAGAGAGCATCAATTACCGAATATGGCAGTATCAGTGAGCAATTATTTATTCATTGTGAATCAAGGATTGGAACTCTTGCCTCCAATCCTCCGCCTTGCCCCCTTCTTCCCGCTATATAAATGCGAATATAATTGTAAATACAAGCATTAATATTGTATCCACTGGTGTCAGGCTCTGTCTGAGGCCTCAAGACAGTCAACGAAAGAGCAATTTAGCAATTTAAGCGAAAAAGAGCAGATTTGTTACTGTGTCACAACCTCTGTAAAGTCTTCAATGATGACCTCTTCAGTTGTTACCTGAAAATGCACCAAAAAAAGACAAATGTCAGAATCCCCTCCCAGTGCAAATATCCTCCGTCGCAATCCATAGGCTCCAAGAAATTTGGAAAATCCTGTACGAAGCTTAAACTCTTCATCCACACAACACTTAAAGAACTGCGAGAAATGTAATCAGTGTATCCTCTCACTTTTTCCCATCAAACCATCAAATCCCGCCCAATTGACTTAAAGCAAGATTAGATCGTGGGTAAATACCGATGGAAATTGAGATTGCCAATTTCGCCCATTCACGAATTGATTGAAATAACATTGTAATTGACATCACTCAACCCTGACTTGTTGGGAGTCTGTGTCTGAAATTCTCACGTTATCCAAGCTCTAGAGGGTAATCGATTGGTCATGGCTTCATTTATCCCTTAAAACCTTCAAATCCTTAACCAGATTTGTTTAGCAAGAGATAGCTTAGCTCATATACAGATATTAGATTGCAATTATACCCATAAATCTTATGGTAACATGCAGTTTAAATGGTAGGACACAGATTTGTCCACATTGCCACAAAGTTTGGTGTCCTCACATAACTTTCTCTTGATGTCCAACTGGAGATATTTTGGTGCTTTACCCAAAGTTAAGGCTAATAATTAAAAAGGTCATGGATGGGTATTTTCTGGCGGTCAGACTGGTGATGTCTTAAGATGGCTAATCAGAGTAGAGACTGGAGAGTAGAAAATAAAGGCATCAAGAGTTGTTCTTAGAGACATCAGAGGATGGAGAGTAGAGAAATCAGATGAGAGAGAGTAGATAATACGACCTAGAAGATATAGCTTTAACCTGGGACAGTTGAGATCCAAAAATATTACAAGGACAAAGTGGAGGGGAGAAGAGGAGGGGGAACCATTTTGTTGATAGTTGAGTTCCAACCTTGTCCTGACTGTTACACATCGCACAAATCACAGTGCCACGCTTGACAAGGAGTTAAACACTCAGCCCAACTTTGCAGCCAAAAACTTCTCCAATACCCATTATCCTCAGGAATGTCATTCTTTTGCTTCTCCAGAAAGTTATTTTGAATTGAATCGAGATTTTTTTTTTTTTTTACCTCTTGTTCAGTTTCCTCAACAACATCGACTTCAGCCACAAGACCCTCCTGTAAGGTTCGGGGCGGGTGGGGGTTGGAAAAAGAGAAGAGAAAGAAAAGCTGTCAGACTCAGTCACGTGATAAATGTTCAACAGCAGAGTAACCCAGCCTCGTCCAAATTTCTGTCCTACTCCACTGTTCGCATTCAAAGTCTAACACTGGTTAGTTCTTGCCAAAGGACCACCACTGCCTCCCAGACAGGGTTGGAAAAACAACTCATTGTGGGAAGAAAAAATCCTTTCCGGCCCATTGAGAATGAAAAAGAAATGTGGAATGTGCAAAACACCGCTGCCTGTAACTCTCCGCTTGTCAGCGGGTATTGAGTTCACAGCGGCGGAGGGGGGAAAAAAAAATTAGACGGTGTTGTTTTGGGTTCGCTTCAGTCACACAGAGCTTAAGAGACGCACCAAATACGAGGAGGGAACCAGTGAGCGCATTAACTAAGAGAGGACGGGGTTGCATTGCAGCAGGAGGTGACAACTCTTGACTCATGCAATTTTTTGTCCAGACTATCTCCAGCTTACGGTCACCCCCCTTCCTCTTCTCTTTCGCTTGGAGTCCAACCCCAACACCGTACACTATTCCCAAGATATTGCCCAGCAGGAAGGATGCTGTATAAATGCACATTCTTATTTGTACATTGTGAACTCTCTCTCCCTTAAAAGGCTGTGGATGATGGATCAATTAAAATGTTCAAGACTTGACATGGATGGATTTTTGCTGGGTCAGGGTATCAAGGGATTTGGGGCAAAGGTGGGTCTTTGGAGTTGAGTTACAGATGATATAATAGTGAACAGGCTCGAGGGGCTGAATGGCCACTCCTGCTCCCATGTTCCTATTTCCGATGTGTCTTTGATCTGCGGACAAAATGGTCTTATTTTTTGGAAAGAGAAGGGAGTTTCGCCCAGTTGTGCTGGCCAACAATCCTCTAGTTTTATATATTTCATATATATATATATTAAAAAAATCTGTTGATCATTGCTGGAAATTTGGGGCATTGCTGGAAACTTGGCTGAAAATTGGCTGCCATGCTGGCCTACAAATATACATCACCAAGAATAACTTGAATTTATATAACGCCCTTCGCACAGGATAGTGCAACAAACACTACACTTCAGAGTAAATCCCTTGAAGACATCTCGAGAGGCGATGAGGATTATCATTAGATGGAATTTCACAGCGCAGCCAATGCCCTCCTCCCATTCACAAACACACGCGTCTCAGTCAACAATAACTATCTCCCACCCAGACCAGACCCCACTGTGTCCTGGCGGGTTGGTCCAGGTCTGTCCAGTGCTCTTTGAGTAAATGTTTAACAGGTACTTACTGGGGCAGCCAGTGCCTTGCCTGCAAGGCACAGGAGGAGAACCATCCAAGCCCTCATTTTGATCTGTGGGGAAAATGCAAACAGACTTTCAATACTCAAACAGCAGCAATGAGTTTGTGGTATTTTACTGACCGGCACAATCGATGGGACAGTCAATACATCTCACCCCGAATATCTTACCTGTTTAAACATCAAGATGTTAACTTTCATTAAAGTTTAGCAAACCGAAAGCTTTCGTACTTCTTCTCTGTGCCCTGGACACAGTCCCTAATGTTTCACCTTATCTACGAGGTTCATTTTTCTCTGAAAAATACCTATGGCTATTCCGTGACTCTGCAGAATAACATGCTGGTAAAGGGCCAGGAGGAGAACGCTCTGCAACGTACACAGAATGAATAGGTTGACATCTCTAGCGGCGGAAGATGCGATTTAAAGGCGCCGTCCCACAGATGGGTCAGCAATGGGTCACATTCAGTTGCTGTCTCCATAGCTACTGTGTCAGGGCAGGGGATGCCAAATGGTGACTCCCAACTCCTCAGGGTTTTAAACCCCCTTGTGTTTTTGTCTAGAGTTGGAAAGCAGGCGCATAAGGATCCTTCTGAACAGTTACGATCAGCTTCCTTCCCATGGAAGCGAGGAAGTCGAGAGAGATGGGAGAAGCTGAGCGCAGCCTGCTTACTAACAATAGCAAATACATCTGTGATCCTTGCGATCGTATTTTAAAATAACCACCGGTTTGCAAGCCAGAAATTCCTCGCATCTGTAGCCCTTCAATGCCACCTTTAAAGACCAGAAATAATGAAAATAATCAGCTCCAGCTGGGATTAAGTCTTAAGTTTCCTGCGTTTTCTTTGACAGTACAGTCTGCTTGTTTTCGGCAATCAAAGTCTCTGCAAAGTGTGCTACAGTGTAAAAAAGAAGGAATTTTGCTTGAAAAATACTGTTCGATGCTTTATATAGTATGTTTGAAAGAGGTGTAATATTCACTGAGCTGAACTTTAGTGTAGAGTTTTGTGTATATATGTACACACACACACACACACATGAAATGCACAACAAGACTGAGCGACTTTCGTGAAAGCGATCCCAGTTATTACATGTTACATGTGGTTGAAACAGTTGCTTAAACAAAGAGACTGACTACGCATTAAACTGGTATGCTCGCAAAGATAAGAGTCAGGGAATGAATAGGGCAGGGCAAGCCTGCACACTTCTCTGCTTAAGTGAAACAGACCAGACATGTTTATTTTCTGTTATGTAACCTCTCCCGGAGACCGATGCTGTGTTATTACAGCACTTTGCGCGTGAGAATTGACAGAATAACCACACGCAAAGAAATCGGCTCTGGGCATGTTTATATTGGAAAACCAAAATGTCAAACCCTGTTTGGAGATGAGAACATCAATGGAATCCCTGGCAACCATTCACTCCGAGTCCTGAACTCACTGCCACGTACGCACATTTAGGCTCTTCGGGAAACCCTTTGACAAGACGGCAAGTTTGGGGCGTTTCATAATAAAAGTAGTAATAATCCTTGCATTTGATATAGCGCCTTTTCACGCCTTCGCGACGTCTCATTTTATAACTATTCCATGTGTAACAGATGCCATGTGTTAATTGTCACCCATCATCCGTTCTATAAAAAAAAGCTCAAGCACTCAATCCCAAATCTATCCTATTTAACCCTATCTTTATAACCCACCTCTCAACAGTCCATTGTACAGAAATAACTAGATTCTGGGATGTTGGGCAGTCTAGTATAACAGCAGCTGATGATATCAAGTCAGCAATGACAAATTTACATTTACGCAGCACCTTACAAGTCTGGATGAACTTTACTGCAAAACTTTAGCTAGTTGGCATTACAGTTTACCTTTTCTCCTTCCAAGCAAAATAATCAGTCAGTCAAACCTCTGGAGAAATATTCTTCCTGACTGGAAAGTAAAACTAACTCTTACTGATGAACTAACATTGCCACACAGACAGAAACACAGGAGCTGTTTGTATAAGTACTCGGAGACCCTACCCCATATGAAGGGCGCTATAATAATAATAATAATAATAATAATAATCCTTGCATTTGATATAGCGCTTTTCACGTCGGGAGGACGTCCCAAAGCGCTTCACAGAACACACTGTAAAGTGAATTGACTGTATATTTGTGGGCGAACGCGGCAGCCAATTTTATATAAATTCAAGTTGTTGTTGTTTGCCTACAGGTATCCGACTTGAAAATGGACGCACCACACATTGACCGTGGAAACGTTAGCACTTTGTTTTGTTGCTTGGTTTACGAAGAGGGCGCCCTTTCTTCTTTGGGGTCAGAGTAGAAGTGATCAGAGCAAAGGGGGAGGTTAAGAGGATTTTTTTTCCCCCCCCCAGAGTATTGTTAGCATCTGGATTGCCCTGATGGGTGCAGTGGTTGTGGCAGGAATCATTTTAGGAGTCAAGAGGGGGATTAGATAATAATAATCCTTGCATTTGACATAGTGCCTTTTACCCCGAGGGACGTCACAGAATTTACCGTAAACTGTAGTGACTGTGTAGTTTGTAGATGAAATGTAGATAGGCACCTCAAAAGGGAGTACATTATAGAGGTAAAGGGTTGGGGGTGAGGGGGGGAGGGGTAGGCAGGTGAATAGGACTGAATGAATTGCTCATTTAAAGAGCATTCACATACACGATGGACCAAATGGTCTTCTTCTGTGCTGTAAAACTGTTTGGCTCCAAAGGAAGGATGTGGTGTAAGAGAAGATGGGATTCAAAATAGTCTGTGTAGCAAACAAGTCCCTGCAAACAAGATGGGAAGGAGCTCAATCCTACTGTATCTTAGCCTCCAAGATGTCCATTGATGTGAAAAACGACCCATTCATACGCCAGTCCAAATAAGAAAGTTCTCTTCAGCTGGTGATCAACAGGATGTGGTGCTGCTACAGACGGCAATAACCTGAAGTGGTGTAAATTACCGGCCAAAGGAAAAATACTCTTTAAAAACAAAACTCAAACTTTCATTCACAGCTCAAATCATCGGCGGAGTATCTGTTTTAATCAAATTAATAACCCACGGTACCTTATCACGTCCGGACATCACAGTGAGCTGGACAGTGCTGTTTCAACCGTAAAAATCCAGGGGAAAGGATCCCTGGATATATTGTAGATTGTTTGTTACAGGATGAAAATGGTGGAACTTGTATGTGGGGAGGTCGCTGTGTGCAAATTGGCTGCTGCCATTTGTTCTTGCAACAACAACTTACATTTATATAGCGCCCCTCATGCAGGATAGAGACCCAGAGCGCTTGTTGCAGTTGCAAAACAAGATGTGAGATCGTATCAGGCCCCAGGTAAAGTTGTTGTCTCCCCACGTCAGCAGCACAGTGATATATCCGAGATGTTCGACAGTCATTACAGACCTTGCCGCGCCTTTTCACATCAAAATGACTCAAAGCTCTTCACCGGGGGTTTCTGTGAAGTGTATTGACTGCGTATTTGTTGGGTGAAAGCAGCAACCAAACTCCATCGCCAAGGTTCATTTCCACCCAGTAACAAACTATTTGAAATACATCCAGGGATCTCCCCCCCCACCCGTTTTTCACACTTCAAGCAACTCATTGTGTCCAGCTCTCAGAGATTTCTGGATGGGATAAGCGTACCAAAACACAATGTTTATTAATTATTAATTGTCTTATTAATTGGATAAACCTCATTTGATTCCCCCCCCCCCCCCCACCTCCCACCCGACACACACACTCGCTAGCATGGCTTCAGCAGGCTTTATAAAAACCATCAACATAACACACTCACCAGGCTTCAAACTGTGCACAGTCTTAAAACTCTAAGCCTGTCAGGGGCGTTTCTGTTGGGAGCAGGGAGATAGAAAATTCGCTAACAGCGTGAAGGAGACTGAAATTATCCCAAAGCCTACGAGCAAACTCCTCCCCGCCTCGTCCCAGACCCAAAGCCCCGAGCGAGACAAACAGAGAGGGGCTGGGGAGACCGACCGCACAGCTTAAGATTTGGACTGGATGTGGAAGCTGCTAATAAAAAAAAGACTGGGTTACAGTCATGAACACAAAGAGAACTTCTCGTTCTTAACACGGTGTCGGTCTGTCAGTCTGGCTGGCTTCATTCGAGCTGCAAACTCTTTGAACACAGAGCGAACTGTGCAACGACTTTAACTTTTAACCAGCGGCGCTACATTTAAAGTATTTCGATTTGGGACTAGCCCCTGAAGCACCAGCCAGCCAGCGCACAAAACACGCGAGGTGCAAAAATAAAATGCGGTAGAAACGCACACACACCCACACACAACACACACACTCACACACCCACACACAACACATACACACTCACACACACACACAAAGACCATGTTGTCCCATAGTTATTTCATTTGGAAGCGTCGCTTTAGAGATTTAAACCCAGAGTCTGGCCCATGTTTGCACCATTTGGGACAGCCATGCTTTTCTTCTACCTCCCTCTGTGTTTACAGTCAGTTTGTTGGTGTTCTTGGATTTAAGAAGTCAAAGGACTGGATTCGGAAGGGTTTCAGGTGGTGCTGTGTAGGATATCCTGTCCCCTCCGGTGCCCACTAAAGCTAACGTGAACCTGTGCTTCCTGGAAACATTATTACTTAGCAAGTGCAAACTCTGAAATGGCATCAGGTAGATATCAGTGTTATACAGTAAACATCATATCAGTCAGGATTATACATTTAATATGACTTATGCAAAGTGTGAGTTACTGTATGTCAAACTTGCATTAAATATAATTTCGTCCCTCACCCCCAAACAAAACATACAGCCAATTCACTTTACAGTATATTCTGTGAAGCCCTTTGAGACGTCTGCAAGACGTGATAAGGCGCTATATCAAATGCAAGGAATATTATTGCAAACTATTAAGTGGGACTTGGACAGATGTACGACTTAGGCGATTATACAACTTATACAGCTCAGACTTGTGCAAATTTTACTGTAGTACGTTGATAATCTAAATACTTTCCTAATCCAATTCCAGAGCCATAGCACCAGACAGATCTTGCTCAAGCACTATCCTGTGAGCTTCCGTTGTTTCGCTCTGAACTAATACTTCTAACCCAAACCTTTTTTAAAAAAAAAATCCCCTTGTCTGAGAAACTCATTGCCTTGCAAGTTAAAGGCATACATCTGGCTCCTGAATCCATTAGGATCCCACTGGATTTTTCTCCAAAGGAATTTTCCCCTGTTCGAAGGAATTTGAATAACTTCTCAGAAGTCCTGGATTCAGGGTAGGGGTCGGGTACCGGGGATGGGGAGGGACTTGTAAGATTTTGTGTTTTATAATGCCTTATAGGGAAGAACGTCTCAAAGGAATCTGACTGCACAGTCTGGTATTTATAGTAATAACCATATCTGCCGACTGCCGTATTAGACTTTGCACTCGTGGGTAATTAACTTTTCGTGTCCGCTGCCACTTATGCATTCGTTTTTATTAAATGAAAATAAAACATATAGAAAAGCCCCCCCTTATATTTCTTCTTCTTCTAGATCTCTACTCCCCTCCATACTCTTCTCTTTCTATATCTCCACCATCCTCTATCTCTCCCTTCTACATTTCACCAATACTTTACATAGCCTCCCCGTTATCTGTGCTCCTCTGTATCCTCTCCTCCTTCTCTCTGCCTCTAGATCTCTCTCTCTCTATATATATACTTCTGCCCTACTTATCCTCTCGGTTATCTTATCCTCTCGGTCCTTGTATCCCCTCCTCTCTATATCTCACTCCTTTTCTCTCCATATATATTTCTCCCCTAATTAACCCTTCTGTTATCGGTCCTCCTCTGTATCTCCTCCTGTAGACCTCTCCCTGCTCAAATGGATAGACAATCACACTCAGGGGTTAAGGCACTGAAATCCACCCACAGCACCCGAGAGAGACTCCACCCAAAGTCCAGGCCCTCCCTGGCCACCCCGACAACCCACATCTATCGTCCTGTAGCTGAAACAGTCTTAATCAGCGGCTTGTAAACTAATTACAAACAAGCTATAACTTGGAACAGACATCAATCGACCATTGATATTAATCTACTGATTAATCTGGGAGACACCCTTCTTTGGACCTTTGTGACCATATTCAGTTTGGGAAACTTGAAAGAAACCCTTTATTGCACATTTACTTATATATAACAACCACCAAAACAACAACAACCTGCATTTATGTTAGCGCCCGTCAGGCCAGATGTTATATAATAATCCTTGCATTTCATATAGCGCCTTATCACGTTTTCGAGACGTCTCAAAGCGCTTCACGGAATATACTGCAAAGCGAATTGACTGTATATTTTGTGGGCGAAACTAACTCACAGATGTGTTTTCAAACAATCGTTCCACGTTCAAAAGGTAAACTTTTTGTAAAGACAGATTTTTTTTGGAATTTCTTTTTGTTTACGCACACTTTTGTTTTTTTATGCTGTGTTGGGGGGAAAAAAAATTGCTTTTAAGTTTTAAAAAAAAGTTGCAAACTGCTTTTTTGTTGGAAGTAAAAAAAGAGTTGAGATCACAATGAGTCAGAGTCACTGTGGCTCATCATTGGTGCATAACTTGGGAGAAGGGGGGGAAAAAAATCTTGATAAACAGCTGAGATTTCCCTTAAAGGGACAAAAGGGAGGGCTTTCTTTGTTGTGGGAGGGGGTTTCAAGATATCCTTTCCTCCTCCCTCTCTTTGCCTATGTGGCATAAATTGCAATCTGATTTTTTTTGCTATGATCTGCCACATTTACAATTCCATCTCCCAGCTTTGTTGTGGTCTCACCACTTTGCACTCAGCTGTAAGATACAGACAGACAGACAGACAGACAGACAAGACAGACAGACAGACAGACAGCTTGCTCTGTGTACCAGCCCAGAGCTGTCTCGTCTGTCTGTGTACATTTTCATCATTACAACTCTACGAGAAAGAGGAGCGAAGAAACGTTTACATTAAAAAAAAAGAATTTGTGGTCTCAAGTCTGCTCGGCGACTTCCTAACCTAACATCAAAAACTTTTTTTTTCTCCAGCCTCCACCCCCCTCCCCACCAAAAAAAGAATCAGTGAAATAAATAATAATTATTATTATTAATAAGCACAAAAATCCACCAAATTACAGTCATTACAGAATAGTTTGCATTCCCCGTAAAACTGCACCACCCACACCCCCCTGTAGTTTTCCTGGAAACGTAAAAGTTTTGTGCGTGTAAAAGTTATTCTACAGCAAGAGAGAAAAAAAGGATTATAGCAGCCAAAAGCACTTGGAAAACTTGGAAAACTTTAGCCAGCTCATTTTCTAACTGCTAAAAGCAGCGATTGAAGATTAACAGCACTGTAAATCTCACTGAAAGTATTATTGCAGTCACTGCCACAGCTGGACAGACAAATAATAGGCGTTACCTGGAGAAATCGAGTGGAATTTTACCTGCGCGACTTGTGAGCAAGTGCACATCTCTCCTTCCTTTTCGCAGTGCAACACCCACCAACCCCAAAAAATTGCTCAGTTGATAAAAGCTCTTAACAACAACCATAATAATAATAATAATAATAATCCTTGCATTTGATATAGCGCTTTCCACGTCGGGAGGAGGCTAACTTGAACGCAAGAAAGAAACTCATTACCTTGGGAAGAAAGAGATTCTTGGTGACAGACCAAGGGAGCAAAAGCAGCAGGCTGACCGAGGCAATGAGAGAGACTGACTTTTCACTGCAATTTAGCAGGAAATGAAGTAATGTTATCCTTTGTGGGCTGTCTTTTCCCTCATTCTCCCCCCCCCCCCCCCCCACCCCCATCCATCCACCAACTCCCCCTCTTCCCACCCCCTTTGCAGATTGTTCAGTGCGGAAAAAAAAAGTCTAAATGCAGTTTGCTCTTGGGATTCACCTTCTATCCCAGACCAGAACAATCCATTCACAAAGCTCTCCCTTCCTTTCACTGCTCAAAAAAAAACCATTTTGTGTTGACGTCAAGCAACCGGTTTGCAATTTAATTAAACGCCTGTTTTACTTGTTTTGCTTAGTTAGCCTCGTGCAAATACTATTTGAACGAGAATGAGTGCAATTGCATTGCCTAAGTGACCCATCCATACCTTCAGCCCTCAGTTTTTCACGTCTAGATGATTATCTGTGACTGTCTTAAGGACAAAAACATCTGGATTCCTTTTATATGAGTGGGTGTGTGTGTGTTGGGGGGGGGGAGAGAGAAAGAGAGACTGACAACGTGGCAACTCTATCCCCATGATGTACATTTGAACTCAAAAGAAAACCAAATTAAAGAGAGAGATATGGGGGGGATGGGGGGGGGGAGTGCAAATAATTACCTAAATTCATCTCACAGTATGTGGCTCAGTTACACCCTTCACAAAAAAACATGCAGAACACAACCCTTATTCAATGGAATTTATGGTTTAGCTCTTTTAAAAAAAAACTAGCAACTGACCACCATTTTCTTATGCTCATCTGGAACAAAGATTAAAATTATGCATCAGATATTAGAGGGGACAAAAAGTGTCTGTCTGGCTTCCTAGATGCAACAAAATGCTTTTTTTCAGCAGCGTCCAAATACTGTATCATCATTGTTCACATTGGATTTTGATTAAAAAGAACAGCGTTTAGTCTGGACTCGTTACAGAAACGTTGCTGGCTTGGTTTTTTTTTCTCTTTCGTTCTGTTCTGTAGTCGCTGAGGTCAATTCAGCTCAGAATTGCACCACCCAGACACGGTGTCTGAATGTTCAAAGAGGCATCTCACGTTATCCCAAATCCAGCGCTTTGGGTCATCCTCCAGACGTGAAAGACGCTATACAAATATAATTTGTTGTTGCTGTTTTGCTTCCACCAGTAATATCCATCCCCCTTATGCTAAGTCTCACTTAAGTTCCTGTCAACGCCACATCCCTCGTACCTCCTCATGTCTAATTTCTCAATCCTCCATGCCAACTGCCAAGACACAATACTGCATTCCTGGGATTCACAATTCACTGTATACTCAAAAAATACACTCATCTCTCTATATATTTGATATGTTGAGATCGCACCATCTAAACGTCGATCTATTACTCCTTATGCTTTGGTATAACGTGGCTGAACTTTGAATGTATTAAACATCCGGTGATGTAACTCACATCTACCCACCTACTTACCTACCAACCATTATGCTATATCTCTGATATGGTCTATGTTTTATGCAGGGTTCACCTATCCCTGTGAAGTGCTGCTCGCTCCCTTGTGTTGCTTTCGGTTACGCCTCTCTGTATCATTTCTATACGGTATTTATACGGTTCCACTCCGCGAACACCCGCCGTACAGACCACGCCGTATCATAACCGACAGAACAACTAAACTTGACAACCTTTGCACGTCTGTTCTGTGTGACCGGTGCTTCTTCTGTTACCTCCTATTGTCTCGTGTAACACAGGATTTGGCCGATGCTAAATGGCCGGTTGCTTGTGATGGAGCGATGTTGTGTACTGTACACTGAAGCCTGCAACACGGTTTTTTTTGCTGGTGCTTTGAGGTTCCCGTCATGCACAGTAATGAGCACGACAATGCTTGCGAGTCAGTCCTATTCATGCACTGAATTCCCCCCTGTTATTTCGGAATCCAGGACTCTTTAGTGCTTCAGACTGCTTTATTTGGGGCCAGTCAGCCGCAAAGGGTATCTGCAGCTTCACAATGTTTCCAGCTCCGCTTCACCAAACGCAATGCAGTACAGTATGCGGTGACCGATGGGAACTATTAAGTGGAGTAGTGAGCCTGAACATGAGGCGAGGGTACCCATTTCTAGAGGTTAATATGGGCCTCACTAGTGTCTGTCAGTAATAATAGCCTTTAATGCACTCCAAAATGATGGAGTGCGGCACCAAACAGGTGTGATAATTAGAGGGTCAGAATGCCCGCAGCCTCGAATGGCAGAGTTTGAGGGCTCTTGCGAGCGAGAATCGATTGAGGACTGCACAAGTGGTTATTTCATAATTAAAAGATACTCACAGAAACCGCACTCGAGATATATCAGCTGGATGATTCTATCCCTTTCATCTTCTTTCTTTCTCTTCATCTGATTTTTTTTTTACTCTTTTATCTCTCTTTTTTTCCCTTCCTCCCCAGGAACTCCCTTCCTCTACCCCTTGGTCTTGCTTACAGTCAGCAATCTCTCGTCTCCTCATCTCTCTCTCTCTCTCCCTCTCTCCCAGACGAAGCACATGCATGACATGGCTACATCGAAATAGAGAGTGAGAGTGAGAGAACGCGACTTGTTCCGCTGCCAATGGGTTGGGCCCCAAAACTTGCGGGCCCTGGGGTGACTACGCAACTTACGCCATTGTATGTACACCACTGCTAAGGCATTCTGCTACAGTTGGGACTTTGAGATCTTCCCATTGCATCTTTTCATATCTTGAGCTCTTCCCAGAAATTTCTAACAAGGAGATTGAGATAGTCCAAGCACAATTTTAGATGGGAGCTTGAGACATTCCTAGGACATGTCCAGTTGGTAGCTTGAGCTCTTCCGAGCACAGCTCCAGCTGGGAGATTGAGGCATTCCCAGCACATCTCCTCCAGTGAGGAGGTGCAGAGCTCATGAGCTCCGGGACACTACCCTGCATGAAGGGCGTTATATAAATGCTAGTTGTTGTTGCTGAGCTTCTACTCTAGTTGGGAGCCAAGTTTTCAATCCATTGGAGCAGGGTTTCTTCGACGAATAAGTGCAAACCACAGTTTGACAAAGAGTGATGTAAATATAACTGCGAACAGAAATGAACTTGTGCCATAGAATATCAAAACACCGACAGTTTATTTGTGATTCGTATCACGCACATCTGCCAGCCACTCCACACACTGGCTTTACCCGGTAGCATGGTGTCACTGAGAGGAAATAAGCCTTCTGAAAGTCTTTCTTCAATTATAAACAGATCTATGTCTGGTGTGGGTTTCACTGGCTTTGATTTTCCAAGTCGATAGAGATTATTTTTAAATTCCATATGTTTCCTTCGCAGCAAGCCACACGCAAAAGGGCAGATCACCAAATGAACAATATAATGAGGGTGAACGAATCGCCAATGTTTATAGACTAAAGACGGAAAAGTAGTCATTAGAAGACCAGACAAATGCAACATTTAGTTTCCTCGTGCTTTCTGTGGCTCCCGGAGGTTCTGGTTCAGAGGCATAGTCCATCTTGATCTCTGGCTCAAGTCCACTGAACGTCTATTTATACCTGTGAGCTGACTGTGAGCTCTCGTGTTGCCTGGGACACTTATGATCCAAGGCAATCAGAGGCCCTGATATTTCATTAAAAACAGAACTGCAGTTGGGCATTTTCAATTACTTTGAAGCAAATGTCAGCCGGGTGTCTGACACACGCGGAAACCCAACCTATCGCCGTTGCTTAAGAGTATCCAAACCAAACTGAGAATTCAATGCCTCCCACCTACACATGGAGCTTCCAGAGATATAGTGTTGGAATGGAACGGATTGGAAGGGAATGCGCACCCTCTCTCCCTCCCTCTCTCCCTGGAGGGAAGGCATCCCGTTTGCCTAATTGGTGTAGATTCTCTGACCCCAAAAAATGCATTTCCGCTTTATTTTATTGGAGTTCTCCACCAGTCTTGACCCTCTCCACATGCTTGGAATTCACAGCACATCTGAAATTCTGCACATGTCCAAAATCTTCTGCAGACCTGGGGATTCAGCGTGGCTCTGTTATTCTTCAGGAACCCGCCATTCTCCAAACCGTATCACCATTGTACTGGAATTCTTTACGGTGTTTTACACAGGCCAAGAATGCGCGTTCAAAGATCTGCTGTTTCATCCGAGTAGAAATCTTGGCACATGGTGTCTTACTGGAAGCAAAATTCCTTGAATGCCTCATCCCCACGAATCTCTGGAAGATGCATCTCAGTCTGTGGACTCTGGAGACTGCGAGAAATTCTATGCAAGAATGACTTTCTCAGACTCTCCGTGTTCTGGGAAAACCATCTGTCTTCAGCAGGTGGATGTAGTACACCTGCAAAGGGGCCCGAGGCTAAGCAGATCTGAGCGGCCCAAGATCAGAAATGGGGCCATTTGTCTTCCAGAGTACAGGTGATAGCTTGGTATTGCTTCTGTATGCCTTACATACAGCCCTCCAATAGCAGAGACCTGTAATTCCCCAGGTCTGGTTCTGCTGCACTGATCAAGCTCACCACTGGCACTGGGATAACTTGTGGCAATATGTATACTAGGGACAACACTGGCACAGAGCACTCAGCAACAAAAACAAACAAAAAATTACATTTACACAGCGCGTTTTATGTCGGGAGGACATCCCCAGGCGTTAGACAGTCAGGGGTTTGGACTTAAGCTGGGGGTTGGGATCAGGAGGGGTAGAGGGCAGGGAGGGTAGGGTGTTAGGACAGTGACCAAAGGCACGATCTAAGAAGAGAATCTTGAGGTGTGTCTTGATAACCAATGCTATTATACTGTCCATTGAATACCAGAAGGCAAAGTAGGATGAGCAATGATCTTCATTCCAACAAATCGCTGAGATAGTAAGGACTCTTTCTTTGGCCTTTCTCGAGCACAGGGCTCTGGCGTAACTGGGCACTACACTGGCACAGGGTCTTGATGTACCTACGAATAGCAATAGCCCTTCACTGGTGTTCTGAGATAACACCCCTTTTACTGTTCATCCACTGCATGTGTTCTGGCTGGTATGACATTCAATGGATCATCATGACATTCTGCGTGAAGAGCGCGATATAAATACAAGTTGTTGTTGTTCCATTCTAACCATGTG